AGTCTGAAATCTCATTTTTGAGAGATCATTGCCATGAGCATTTTGGGTCCTTCTTAAGGTGGCTCAATGCCTGCAATTTGGGTCTGCAAGAAAATCTGGATTTAATGATAGATTATGAAAGCTTCCCGAAAGTCTAATTGTTGGAAATGAAGGGATGGTATCATTTTGGTGGAAAGAACAGTACCAGCTCTGGCTCACTCACTTGCTAATTGAACAGATATTTAGTGAGTGTTTATCATGTGCCAGGCACTGTTTCAGGCATCAAAAATAAGACTATTCTAGTCCCTGTCCATGCGGAGATTACTATCCAGCCAAGAAAACATAATTGATGCTTGGTTACAGTTAAAAAGCAATGCAGGCACTACGAAATTGTACAACTTTCCAGACTCACTTTGTCCAGTTTATGCTAGAATCAGCCTTGCTACTCAGAGCAGCCTGCAGACAATGAGGTCTGGGAACTTGTCAGTCTCTAACCAGACCTTCCAAATCAGGATGTGCTCTTTAGCAAGTTCCCAGGGATTTATGGGGCACATTATGGTTTGAGAAGCACTGGCCTACAGGATAAGTGGGAATCAAGAATGGAGGGAGGGGGAAGGCCTGCCAAGCCCTGAAGCAGGCTCTCAGTGGGAAGGCACTTGGCACTTTGAGCTGGCGAAGGAAGACCAATACACTGGGACCAAGACCAGACACGTTCACAGCTGGGAGACACTGTCACTGCGACTCTTGTGAAGAGAAACAGAGAAGAGATGTGGTAGCTGGGAGCTCACTGATTGCCTCATTGTGTCTAGTACAATTCGAGGCAGAACACACAAGCCAATCATAGCGCTCCTATGAATAGTTTATCAAACTCACCCAAGCAGTTAGTGATGAAAAAATACTATTCAGCTCTAACTTTACATACTGGGGGAGGTGAAGTTAGAGGGGTTGGTTACAAATGGTGGAATCTGTGGGGTTTAAGGCCCCCTAGGTCCAGGATTACCTTCTTCACCCAAACCCCCCTTCCAGGTTCAGGCAGAGTGTCTGGTCTTGTTTGTCAGACTCTCGAAGCCCCTGCTTCCTATTGTGTTGTCCGACCCAGGAGTAGGACAAAGAGGGTGCCTTGGAGGATTGATTACCACCCTTTGGTCTGTCTGTCTTTTAATTTTGAAGGCTAGAAAGAATGAACCCCCCCCAAAAAAAACAAAACAAAACAAAACAAAACAAAAAAACCAGTCTAAGCCAAAATCAAACAACTGAAGAAGAAAATAAACAGAAAAATAAACATCCCCTTGAAAGTTAAGGCCTTGAATTTCATGCAATCTTTTATTCCTGTTATTTACTCTTATTAATCAGATTGAAGTATCTGGTTACCCAAGCTCTTACCTACAAGCAGGGCTCCTCCTCTGATACACCTGTGCCATTCTACCCCGGCTTGGAAGAGGGACAGTGACCCAGAGAGCTCCTCTTTGTCCTCCAGTTTCACATTCTATTATGTAGCCTGAGGCACTGAACTGGCTAATCAGCTTGATTTACAACCTGAAACCACTCCAGCTCCTCTGTATTGGTTCCTAACATTTATATAACACAGGTCCTCAGAGGTGTTTACAGCACACTTCCTGCCATCTACCGTTTTATTAATCCTCACAACAGTATGGGCTTTAACATTTTTTTATTTGAAATTCCTAATTCATGGAAAGGCAAATCCTGGCAAAACAAGTTCAGGGCCAGCAGTTTGAGATGATATGCCTGGAGTTAGTCAGAGGCTGGGCAGGACCAGGAGTCAGAAGTTCCAGCACTTATTTCAGAGATTCTATCATCATTATCATCATCATCATTATCATCATCATCATCATCATCATCAGATATATTTAAAGTTACACAAGTAATTATTGCATTCAATTCTGAAATATATGTAAGAACATTATCTATAAAGTGAAAATCTTTCTTGACATCTTCCCATCTTGACTTGTTCATCACCCCAAGGCACCATTATGGGCTTGGCAAGAATCTTTCCAAATTTAGTTTTGTTCTGTCATATATATCTACATATCAGTTATTTCCATTGACATTGTGTCTGTAGCTATATTTTTATAAAGGATTCATGTTTGGGGCTGTATAGTATTCCACCATACTCATGTGGCACTAATTTATTCATTCTCCTTTTGATGAATATTTATGTGATTTCCAATTTTTCGCTTTGGCAAACACTGTAACACTGAATGTTTTTGTACATTTCTTTTAGACCTATGTGGAAATGTTTCTCTAAGATTGAATCCTAGAAGAGGAATTGTTGGGTCACAAGTTATATAATTTCAGTTTGAACAACTACTGCTAAAGTAAATCTCAAAAAGAGCCTTTCCAACTAGTACACCCAAAACCAGTGTATGGGGGTGTATCTCTCTATAACTTTGCAAAAATCCTTGTTCTTCTTAGACTTGTCCATGTGTAACTTTTAAAAGTTAAATATGACTCTCAAATATATTTTACAAATACAGAGTGCACATGTATAAAAATGTATTCAGCTCATTAATTAATGAGAAAATTTGTAATATGAAAAAGCTATTTCAAAAACCATTTGGAAAAATGCATTAATATAGTTCTTAATAAAATGTTAAAAGATTACTAGGCTACATATAAAGTGGTTAATGTCCTACAGGCCAATAAATTATAACCTTAAAGTTATCTTTCTTTGGCATTTCTACAAGGCACAAATCTGCAAGTTAATATATAACCTTACAGAGTTTTATTAATAGTAAATAGCAATATCAAACAATGTTACAGTCCCTCAGAAAACTAAATAATCCTTGGGCCTTTGAATGATGCTTCAATAGGACATTGAAAGGCCATACATTGAATGGATGACTACCCCTTTGGCCTTATATCCAGGTTTTGGATAATTTTTCTTACATATTAAAAAAAATCTGTACCAATGCAATGAATTTAAAATGGCAGTTCATTGTGAATTTCTATAATTGGTAGTTACTTTGAGGCATTTGTTATTTTTATTTGGCCAACCAGTTCTCTCGAGTTCCATGTCTCCCCCCCCCCCACCCCTCTCTCTCAATTTTCCATTGATTTTTAGAGAGAGTGGAAGAGACACAGAGAGAAACATCAACCAATTGGTTGCCTCCCACATCTGCCCTGACCAAGGCCAGGGGTTGAGCCTACAACAGTGGTATTTGCCCTTGACCTCCCAGGACTCATAAGTCCCAGAGACAATGCTCTAGCCACTGAGCCAAATGGGCTAGGGCACTTCCAGGTCTCTTTAAATAAACATCAGTGGTAGGAAAATACTTTTTTCTCTAGTGACCAGAAATGCCCTACACAAACTGAAGAGAAGCTTCACAAAGTTAGGCCTCCTAGGTGACAGGAGGAATGAAGACTTGCTTTTTCCTAGGAAAGATTTTACACAGCAAAGTGTGCCCTCAAAATTGGATGCATAGCCTGGCTGGTTCAGTGGTTGAACCAGGAGGTCACGGTTGATTGCCAGTCAAGGCATATGCCGGGGTTGCCAGTGGGGGTGTGTGAAGGGGTGTGCAGGAGGCAGCCAATAAGTGATTATATATAGTCATTGATGTTTCTATTTCTCTCTTCCTTTCTTAAATCAATAAAATCAATAAAAATATATTTTTTAAAAAACTAAATGCACAAAGGCACCTTCCTTCTGGCCTTCAGAATGCTAAAGATGCTGCCCACACCAGTGGCAGTGGAGGAAAAGAAGTGTGTCCAGAGAGGACCAGTGGGGTGGGGTAGGGTGAGGTGGGGGGGAGGGAATGGTGTTTGGTGGGCCTTTGTTTGGGGAGGAAGAACTCTGTCTGCTCTGCTCTCTTAGGTCCTTTCCTGGGCGGACTTTCTTGGTCAGTCTACCCATCACTCAACACTTATTCTCCCCCCTCCCCTACCTCCCACCCCTACAAGGGCAGAGGGTTTTTCAAAGGACAAATGGGGAGCATGACCAACACAAGGAGGTGAAGATAGACCAAGATGGTGAACTTTGAAGGTGTGCTATCCAGCAAGTCCGGATAAAACCCGGAAGCGGCGATGTGTGCGGGGCAAGGGAACAACTCTGTCTGGATGGAGTTAAAGGACCGGCCACCTGGCCTCAGCCCTGGTTGGGCTTTTCAGATTTCCTATGACTTGGTGCAGCACTGGGGGCCTCACGCTGGCATCCCCACCCCAGCCCAGAGCGAGTGATGGCACTTCTGTAACCAACTTCCAATTCTTAAACTATCGCTGAAATCATCGTTTGTTGGGAGCAGCCCGAGGAACTGGAGGCTGAGTCTCCGCTGCTGTGAACCCGTCTTCTTTCAACGTGGACGCTTCCCCAGTTGGACTCCCCATCCCTCCGACTCACAAACGGCTGCTGGATATCTTCCCGCCAGTTTGTCACGGGTCTTGGCAGGGGTCCACTCCCTTTTAGGGGGCAACTCCTTGGCTGCGGACCCAGGCCTAGGAGACGCCCCTTCCCTGCTGAGGCCTGCCCTCCGGTCTGTCTTTCCGGCGCGTCCCGGTCGGTCTGCAGCCAGCTCCGGGCCGTGGCACGCCTGGAATGCACCGGGGGCCGCGGGGCGGGAGGACGCGGGGCGGGACCGCCGGCTCCCCGGGTGGCGGTGCGGGGACTGGCTAGAGGCAAACAGTCCCAAAGCCCCGCGACTCGGATCTCGGGTTCTGAGTGTGCACCGCAGCCTCCCTCCGCGCTCGGCCCAGCCGCCGCCCCCCCACCCCCACCCCCGCCCTCAGCGACCCCAGGATCCCGAGGAGGAAAGAGGAAAAAGTCTCCAGAACGCGAGCGCAGGCCCGCCACGCCCTCCCTCCAGCAGCCAGGCGTCACGGAGAGGGGGCAGGAAGCCGGAGGGCGGTCGGGTTTGGGAGGGGCGAGGGGGCGGGCCGAGCGCTGGGGTCGCCCCGATTCGGCGGGCAGGGGTCCTCCGGCCCCGCGGCGCGGGCTCGGGGCTGGCGGCGCCGGCGTGGGCGTCGGGCCAGCCCCTCCGCGCCCCCTCCCCGGAGGCGGAGGGAAGGGACGGGCCGCAGCCCCGACGTCGCCGCCCGCGGCGGGAAGCGCCTTAAAAGCCGCTGCTCCGCCGCCGCCCGGTGCTCGCCGGGCTCCTCGGGAGTGTGCGCGGAGGCCGGGGACTGGCCGCCGACCGACCGACTTCCGACGGACCGCGATCCCGGGCAGCCCCCCCAGACCGGCCGGCCCGGCTTTGGAGGGAGAGACCCGGACAGACCCCGCTCGGCCCCGGCACTCCGGCCGCCCGGACGCGCCCCCTGCCGGCGGGCAGCGCGCCGAGGGCGCGGCGGCGGGGGCATGTGAGCCCGCGGGATGGCCTCGGCGGTGTTTGAGGGCACCTCGCTCGTCAACATGTTCGTGCGCGGCTGCTGGGTGAACGGCATCCGCAGGCTCATCGTCAGCCGGCGCGGGGACGAGGAGGAGTTCTTCGAGATCCGCACCGAGTGGTCGGACCGCAGCGTCCTCTACCTGCACCGCAGCCTCGCCGACCTGGGCCGCCTGTGCAAGCGCCTCCGGGACGCCTTCCCCGAGGACCGGCCGGAGCTGGCCCGCGCGCCGCTGCGCCAAGGTGCGGGGTGCGGGGTGCGGGGCGCGGGGCGCGGGCTGCGGACTGCGGGCGGGGTCCAAGGGGGAGTGCGGTTGTGAGGTCGTTTTAAAGTGCACGAAGGGGAGAGGGAAGTTACTTGAACTAAGATTGCGGCTTTCCTTCCGTCCCGCCGCGGACTGGGGACACTTCGCCCCTCCGCCCCAGGGGAAGGGCGCCCGGAGTGCCGGTGGCAAGAGGACAGGGAGTCGCTCATGGAACCCCGGCCTGGACACCAGAAGAGGTGCCCTGACTGTCACCTCGGGCCCGTCACTGACCAGGGCCGGTGCGGCGGCCGGTGTAGGGTGGCCCCGGGCCTCTCAGTCTGGGCGCCTGCCCCGGACCAGTGGTCGCTCCGTCCCCACTCCCGGGAGGGCCAGCTGAGACCCCGCCCCGCCCAGGGGGCGGCAGTTGGGTGCTGGGAGACCTATGGGGAGAGCTGACCGTGTCCGGTTGGGGGTTGCGCCCCCCAGACTCCTCCCCGGGTTGACCTCGCTGACAGAGGAGCTGGAGTGCGTGTTGCCACGCAGCCTTCTGTCACCGCTGGGGAGGGGCAGCCCCACGGGGTGGGTCCACATTTGCTTTTGATTAACTGTGGCGGCCTCCTCCCTCGCCTTGTGACCGAGCCTGGCTCCTAGGACTGGAGTTTCAGAGATCTGCTGTGGCTTCACATTTCCTTCTGCCTGTCTGTCGCCCGTCCCACAGGCTGCCCTTTGGAGGGCGGAGATGGGAAGAAGGAGGAAGGGCCAGAGAAACTAAAATTGAGATGGGAAGGATTGCAGTGGGGGAGAAGGGGCCAGGAAAGTCTGCAGGGCTCTAAGCAACCTCACTTCCCTTATATCCTCCCCCACCCCCCCATGACCACCTGCAGTGAGGTGACACCCAGAAACCTTCTTGTCTGCAGTTCTCTAAGTAGAGACTGGGTGGCACTTTGGGGGCAGTTATTGAAGCTGAGGGTGGCCGGGACAAGTCTCCTTAGCTACTGTCCACCTGAGGTCTTAAGATAACCTCTCCTTACCCTCTGGCGATCCCAGCTCCCACCCCAGAGTGTGAATTATATGTCAGTTCCCATGACACATCCGCTGGCTGACACGTCATTTTGGAAAGCTGGTGAGTCTGGAGACCCTGAGCGAGACAGCTTGCCTTGCAGGCTTCTCTTTGCTCCCCAGATTCCCTCATGCATAGCCATTCTGGAGTCAGTTTAGGATTATTTTAAGCATGGCAACAGGTTTCCTTGGGCTTGCTATTTGGGTGTGTGTTATTGTATTTTTTTAATTCAAATGAATGCCCAAATCAAGAAAGCTTAGTTGTGTTTTCTCCTTTCTGGAACTAGGTGGACCATGAACGAATGGGGCCCCCTAAGGCCTTCAGAGTGCCTGCCTTCCCCCTGCCCTCCGGGTCTCACTAGGTCAGGTGGCCCAGCTCAGCCGTGACCCTGGGCACCCTGTTTGGTCCCTCCTCTGGAACATAGTGCCTGCTGCTCACTTTTGTGTATGTGAGGGTTAAAATGCAGAGTGGAGTGTCTAGCAGAAGTAAGCCCTATTTATTTATTTATTTATTTATTTATTTATTTATTTATTTTTTGAGAGTTCACAATGGACTAGAATTCAGTTTATTTTTTTATTTTTATTTTTTTGCCCCCCTCCTTTCCTCCCTCCCATACATACCCTCCCTCCCCAGAGTTTTATGTCCATTGGTTGTACTTATATGCATGTACACAAGTCCTTCGGTTGATCTATTATCTCCCCCAGATCTTCCTCCCCTCCCCACTGTAATTTGACAGTCTGCCTGTTGCTTTACTGTCTCTATATTTGTCTCTTGGTTCATCAATTTATAATGTTCTTTATCATCCACAAATGAGTGAGGTCATGTGGTGTTTCTCTTTCATTGATTGGCTTATTCACTCAGCATGATGTTCAACCACTGTGGAGAACAGTGTGGAGTTTCCTCAAAAAACTGAAAATGGAACTCCCATTTGACCCAGTAATCCCACTTCTAGGAATATATCCCAAGAAACTAGAAACACCAATCAGAAAGGATATATGCACCCCTATGTTCATAGCAGCACAATCTACAATAGCCAGAATTTGGAAACAGCCTAGGTGCCCGTCAGCAGATGATTGGATCAAAAAACTATGGTACATCTACACAATGGAATACTATGCTGCCATAAAAAAGAAGGAATTCTCATCATTTGCAGCAACCTGGATGGAATTGGAGAACATCATGCTAAGCCCTACTTTAATGCTAGCTCCCCTCAGCCGCCCTGCTTCTGGTGGGACTGGTAGATGGTGGCGGGAAGGAGAGCGTGGCTCTGGCCGCCCTGGGGCGTGATAATGAAAAGTCTTACCTGCAAAAGGGAGGTGAGTGTGAGGCCTTGCCCCGCCCTGCACATGCCCTGGTGCTGTGCCTTGTGTGTGCATTTGAGTTGTGCTGGGTCAGTTTAGGTTTCTGAGGTGTAGACACACAGAGAGTACCTCTGAAGAGTGAGCCACTTACAAGTGAAGAAAGGTTTAGGATGATGGGGGGCGGGGGGAAGTAGACTTGAAAAGGATATGATAGGTAGTTGCTGGTGTGCTCAGTGGTTAGTGTCAGCCCAGGCACCAAAGGGTCATGGGTTGATTCCCAGTCAAGGGCACGTACCTGGGTTGCAGCTTCAATTCCTGACCCGGTCAGGGCATATGCAGGAGGTATCCAATAGATGTCTCTCTCACATCAATGTTTCTCTTTCCTCCTTCTACTTTCTAAAAATTGATGGAAAAATAACCTTGGATGAGGATTAATGAAAGAGAAAAGAAAGGGTATGATGGGTACTTTCAATTATCTGACGGGGAGAAATTCAAATGAGGTATCAGCCATGGTGGTAGAGGCAGTGGGGGTGGTGAGGATGAGGTCCAGCGACTGGGTGAAAGGACTTCATAGCAGCCTGGGGTGGAACTGTGGGAACCTTTGGCTGGATCCCTGGCTCAGCAACCTTAATTCCCCATCTAGTCCTTGATTCTCTAAAGGGAGGCAAGCTGGTCCCTCCCCAAGCACCATCTGAGTTTTGTACAATCCTAAGGGAAGTCCGTTTCCTTTTCAGAACTGTTTAAGTCCAGGGAAATCATTTTCATAGTAAAATACATTCCAGTAATATAAAAGAAAAGTCCACCTCATATCTATGTGCCAGGTATCATTCTAGGTGCTAGGGACATGGTAGTGACCAAAAAAGACACCCCCCCCCCAAAAAAAAAAAAAAATCCCTGTCCTCATGATTCTTATATTCTGGTTGGAAGAAACCTAGTAATAAACAAATATGTTAGTGATAAATGTTCAGAAGATAAGAAATAAGTAAGCAAGGAAAGGAGCTATTGCTTATGGGGGCAGGGAAGGTAGGGTGGTCTGAATGGTCTGAAAGGAAGTGACCTTTGAGCAGAAACCTGAAGGAAGAGATGGAGCCAGGCCACATCACTGCCTGTGGAAGAAAGAGGAGCCAGTGCAAAGGTCCTGAGGCCTGCCCGTGCCTGGTGACTTAGTAGTGAGAGGCCATTGTGCCTGGAGTGGAGAGGGTAGTCGGAGATGATTGGGGAGGTAGGGAGTGGGCAGGTCACATTCAGATTTGGGTTCTTACTCAGAGATGGAGAGCTTTGAGCAAGTGACTTAATCTAACACACACTCCGGCTGCTGTGCTGAGAATGACCCGGGAAGAAAGGGAGGCTGGCTCGAGCTGCCGGGACATCGTGGCAGGTGTAGCAGATGTGAGACATGGCCAAGCACTGATATGCCTGGAAGGGAAGAGCACAGCACTGACGGGGAGACCAAATGTGGGTGTGAAGGAGCGTCAAGCTCGCAGCCAAGCTTTCAGCCTGAGAAACGGCATTGCCACTCACTGGGACGGGAAACCAGCAGGAGCCAGGTTAGGGCTCCAGCTCTGAGTGTATTTCGGCGTTTTCTCCAGATAAGGCCCCTCAATGGGAGCCTGTGGGGTGCACAAGTCTGGTCACCTTTATCACTGAAGATTTTAACCGACCTGCAACCTCATGGACTGTCTGTGCTTAGATGTGAGGTCTGAGGGATGGAAGCTAAGGTATCTAGCATATTATCAGGAGACACCTGCCAGCCTCACCACCCTGATAGCTCGAGTAAAATGTGTTCTCTGCTCCCAGGCCTGAGCCTGTCCTGTGGGCAGAGAGGGAAGAAGCTCAGTGCTGCCCCAGACTAGCTGGGAGAATGCCACCTGCTGGATGGGACGGACCGCAGAGTCTCTGAGTTTACATTCTAAGAGGCTGAGAGAAGTTCCAGCCACCTGGGCCCTGGGCAGCAGAGCAGGGCACAAAGGCCTTCTTTGCGCGGCCAGATGTGTGCTCAGTGAGCCTGCCCCTCACCTGTGCCTCAGCTCCCACCCCCATGCATAGCCCCACCTCAGGGTGTCCTGCCCCTCCTAACAGGCGGTTTTCACCTCTGGGGGTTCGGGGTATTCTTTCAGATTCACAGGCCAATTTTGAGATTCTTCCATGGGTAGTGCGCCTGGGCTGGGTGCTTTCCCAGGGCCCCGGCAGCGTGGCCACATGCTCTGCCACCCGTCCTGGCTGGAATTGTCCCCCTCTATGTCGCCTGCTCTTCCTCCCGTTTTACCTATCTTTCCCAGGCCCACACCCGCCACTGCCCAGACTTCCTCTGATTTCCTAGTGTCCAGTCCGGTCTCTGCAAGTGGCCACATGGCTGAGTTTGGTTCATGATCCTGTGATCTCATCCCAAGAGAGCTCACTGTGCTGTGGGCACAGGTGACCCGAGCTAACTCTCAGCTAGAGAAGGAGCTGATGTGATGCTTTCCACTAAATATCAGAGGAGAAACTCAGTTCTGCTTCTCAGGACAGAACCCACTGTGGCATCCTGGCTGCCCTCAGGATGGCCCCCTGGGACATGGATCCCCTTTCCTTCTTAAAACACGTCTAGGCCTCACCTTTCTCTGCTGTCTCTTTTAATCAACCCTTTTCCAAAAGGTG